GTCTTTCCTGAACTTAACAATAGTGACTACCAATATAGTGCGGTCCGGTTAGTTGTACGACAGCAGTACTGGTTTTGCCATTCACAGAGGTTCCTTCACACGCCGATTCACCATTGTATTCATTCATAGAATTGCTAAAATTCCCCAAGTATCAATGAGAATTCTCGCGCTATCTTCTGTCAGCTCACCTATTATCTCAAATTCTCAGAGACTTTGAAGCCCCAAACTGGACCTCTGACTTCACAGTTCCGGTCATTTGTATATCTGGTACATTTTACGTGAATGTCAAGGTGCAAAAAGAATGCTTCTCCGACCCCGACTCCCCGCCCGCCCTCTTGATTTACTCACGGGAAGATGAGACTGGGATTTGAGACAGGATGTTTTGTCAGTTAAGGATGACTACATCTTGAAAACATCTCCCAACATCAACTTCAACATGCCTATTTTTATTTGTCCTGTTTACTGTTTAGGTATCAAATATAAATGCCATTTTATTTTATTTTATTGTTTACGATCAACTTCAAGCTTTACATCGAGGATGAGTACTGAAATGAGATACTGAGCATATCTCTGCCAGGGTTGTATCGATGTACATGCTGCATGTGCTTCAAAGGAAACCTTTACATTAATCTAGTAAATGGCTGATGTTTAGCTATATCGGCCAGGTCCATGATTTTGAAAAGAGGGGTGCGACCTTAAATGATACATTGCCAATTATATATATTTTAGTGCACATATTATCTCGTTTAAACATCTGCAAACAAAAGAGTGCCTGCCACCTGGAAACAGATACACCGGTTGTCAGGTATAAACTACAATGAACACTAGTGTCAGTTTATTAAGTGCAGAAATAGGCGATAGTCTTTGCGTGTATCTGTGTAGGTATGCCATCATGAAACTTTCGAGGCGTAAAGACAGAAAGGATCCAGTCTATGTCATATGCCTCCAATACAAGGATGAGAAAAGGAAACGAGACATCGCTGTACGGAGCTTGTGTACAATCCCTGCCTCATTTTGAGGAAGGTTATAAACAAACATCTTGTTTCATCCCAGCTGGGCACATTTCAGTTTAAGAACGTTAACAGGAAGATCTAAAAGACAGGCGTCAGTTAAACAGTCCAAGAAAAAGGTTCTCAGGAAATTAAAATGTCGAAACCAATGATCAGAACCTATTGAAACTTTTGTCCAAAACCTTGGGCTTCGAGGAAACATAATGTTTTGTTTTTGTGTTTCCTAAGGGCACATATTCCAAGAGATTCAACATATCGTGAGCTATTCGTTTAGGTGGGGGGAGTTTTGCGGCACATGTGATGCATCTTGTAATCCAAACGGAGAAGAAGTTATTGGAGGAGACAAAGGATTATGTGAAGTGTTTCAGCAAGTGAGAACAGCTCAACCTAAAACATAACAAAAACCTGAAATCCGAGGTCAGTTGTCAGAATAATCACGATCGCCCACTAAACACTAATCCTTTTATCATTCAACACGAAAGCAAAGAATATTTCATTATGTCGTAATCGTTTATGCTAACCTGGACTTTTAAAGATCTTACAAGGTTACATTCATCCCTATTATCTTTATTTTGAAAGATCAAACTATATATTTTCGTTTTGTTTTAAACTTAATAATTCCTTATGACTTGTATTATCAGATTTAATTTATTATAAATAGACCTTCAACGGAAACGAGGTGGAGTGGGTTTTTTTCAAAAACAGAAAGCATGTTCTTTTTGTTTATATGTGAAGCAATGAATATTACCCTTAAATGGCTTTGACGTACAGATCGATAGATTTTCAATGAACTGCAATTGTTAACCTTTCCATGTACTTCTAAGCATAAATGCAATGGCACTCAGACAATACAATGGACAGAACAGAATGTGCAGTCAGATACCTAATTCTCGATACATTGTGACAGGGTATAATACAAACTTTCCAAAGTATCGTATCGTGCACTATCTATGGTCGAGGAATCCTCCTCCCTACTCCACCTACATATACACCGGTTCCCTGGCAGTGGGGGAATTCTGAAGATGCGATTACGGCGCGAGGCGATGGACCATCACTAAGGCGTTCTGCTGAATGGATGACCTGCACGGGGAGCTGTCAGTCCAGTGAAAGATGGAATGTTACCGGTTGTGTAAATAAATAGCCAACGGTAAGACTCCGGTCTCTCATGTTGAAGGCCGATCTACACTCTATCAGAGGGCATACGAGACATACCTATTTGATTAACCATTCTTGTACATGGGATTTTGACTCACTGTTATATATTATGCAACGTTCGTACTGAATTAGCCCTTCATGCAAATCTCATACTGGATTAACCTTTCATGCAAATCTCATACTGGATTAACCTTTCATTCAAATCTCATACTGGATTAACCTTTCATACCAATCTCATACTGGATTAACCTTTCATGCAAATCTCTTAGTAGATAACCTTTCATGCCAATCCTATACCGGATTAACCTTTCATTCAAATTTCATACTGGATTAACCTTTCATGCCAATCTCATACTGGATTAACCTTTCATGCAAATCTCTTAGTAGATAACCTTTCATGCCAATCCTATACCGGATTAACCTTTCATTCAAATTTCATACTGGATTAACCTTTCATTCAAAACTCATACTGGATTAACCTTTCATGCCAATCTCATACTGGATTAACCTTTCATGCCAATCTCATACTGGATTAACCTTTCATGCCAATCTCATACTGGATTAACCTTTCATTCAAAACTCATACTGGATTAACCTCTCATGCCAATCTCATACTGGATTAACCTTTCATGCCAATCTCATACTGGATTAACCTTTCATGCCAATCTCATACTGGATTATCCTTTCATTCAAATCTCATACTGGTTTAACCTTTCATGCCAATCTCATACTGGATTAACCTTTAATTCAAATCTCATACTGGATTAACCTTTCATGCCAATCTCATACTGGATTAACCTTTCATTCAAAACTCATACTGGATTAACCTTTCATGCCAATCTCATACTGGATTAACCTTTCATGCCAATCTCATACTGGATTAACCTTTCATGCCAATCTCATACTGGATTAACCTTTCATTCAAAACTCATACTGGATTAACCTCTCATGCCAATCTCATACTGGATTAACCTTTCATGCCAATCTCATACTGGATTAACCTTTCATGCCAATCTCATACTGGATTAACCTTTCATGCCAATCTCATACTGGATTAACCTTTCATGCCAATCTCATACTGGATAATCCTTTCATGCCAATCTCATACTGGTTTAACCTTTCATGCCAATCTCATACTTGATTAACCTTTCATTCAAATCTCATACTGGATTAACCTTTCATGCCAATCTCATACTGGATTATCCTTTCATGCCAATCTCATACTGGATTAACCTTTCATGCCAATCTCATACTGGATTAACCTTTCCCTCCATGTGATTATGTAAGCATTAAAAGGGATTGCTTCAACATATAGTGGTTCCATTACATAATGTGCAACCTTGCTTTGTCTAGGGTGATGTAGGAGCACACCATGGACATTATTCAATCCACTCCCACAATCTAGTGGTGATTATGCCGTTGGCCTTGTCACTCATTGTAATCATCCGATCCCCATTCCGGTCAACTCACTCGGCCTAGGAGTACCGGGGACATCATCTGCCCTGCTATTGTGTCATGGCAGCGCCATTGTGCCATGTTCTCCCCATTGTGTTTCGCGTGTTGATTCCAGGCATCACCATTGTACCCTGGCGTTGTGCCACGTTCCCCCATTGTTCTCAGGTGTTGTGCCACGTTCCCCCATTGTTCCCAGGTGTTGTGCCACGTTCCCCAATTGTTCCCATGTGTTGTGCCACGTTCCCCAATTGTTCTCAGGTGTTGTGCGACGTTCCCCGATTGTTCCCAGGTGTTGTGCCCCGTTACACCTATTGTTCCCCGATGATGTGACCGTCCTCGCCATTGTTCCCAGGTGTTGTGGCCCGTCCTCTCCATTGTTCCCCGGTGTTGTGGCCCGTCCTCTCCATTGTTCCCCGGTGATGTGCCCGTCCTCTCCATTGTTCCCCGGTGTTGTGTCCCGTCCTTTCCATTGTTCCCCGGTGATGTGCCCGTCCTCTCCATTGTTCCCCGGTGATGTGCCCGTCCTCTCCATTGTTCCCCGATGATGTGCCCGTCCTTTCCATTGTTCCCCGGTGATGTGCCCGTCCTCTCCATTGTTCCCCGGTGATGTGTCCCGTCCTCTCCATTGTTCCCCGGTGATGTGTCCCGTCCTCTCCATTGTTCCCCGGTGTTGTGTCCCGTCCTCTCCATTGTTCCCCGGTGATGTGCCCGTCCTTTCCATTGTTCCCCGGTGGTGTGTCTCGTCCTCTCCATTGTTCCCCGGTGTTGTGGCCCGTCCTCTCCATTGCTCCCCGGTGATGTGCCCGTCCTCTCCATTATTCCCCGGTGTTGTGTCCAGTCCTTTCCATTGTTCCCCGGTGTTGTGGCCCGTCCTCTCCATTGTTCCCCGGCAGTGTGCCGTCATCTCCCTAGTTCCCCGGTGATGTGCCCTGTTCTCCGCATTGTGCCCCGGTGTTTTGCCCCGTCCTCTCCATTGCTCCCCGGTGTTTTGCCCCGTCCTCTCCATTGCTCCCCGGTGGTGTGGCCCGTTCTCCCTGTTGTTCCCCGGGAGTGTGCCGTCATCTCCCTTGTTCCCCGGTGATGTGCCCTGTTCTCCGCATTGTGCCCCGGTGGTGTGCCGGGCATCTCCATTGTGCCCCGGTGGTGTGCCCTATTCTCCGCATTGTAACCCGGTGGTGTGCCCTGTTCTCCGCATTGTGCCCCGGTGGTGTGCCCTATTCTCCGCATTGTACCCTGGGAGTGTGCCGGGCATCTCCATTGTGCCCCGGTGGTGTGCCGGGCATCTCCATTGTGCCCCGGTTGTGTGCCCTGTTCTCCGCATTGTGCCCCGGTGGTGTGCCCTGATCTCCGCATTGTGCCCCGGAGGTGTGCCGGGCATCTCTATTGTGCCCCAGTGGTGTGCCCTGTTCTCCGCATTGTGCCCCGATGGTGTGCCGGGCATCTCCATTGTGCCCCGGTGGTGTGCCGGGCATCTCCATTGTGCCCCGGTGGTGTGCCCTGTTCTCCGCATTGTGCCCCGGTGGTGTGCCCTGTTCTCCGCATTGTGCCCCGGTGGTGTGCCGGGCCCCTCCATTGTGCCCCGGTGGTGTGCCGGGCATCTCCATTGTGCCCCGGTGGTGTGCCCTGTTCTCCGCATTGTGCCCCGGTGGTGTGCCGGGCATCTCCATTGTGCCCCGGTTGTGTGCCCTGTTCTCCGCATTGTGCCCCGGTGGTGTGCCCTGTTCTCCGCATTGTGCCCCGGTGGTGTGCCCTGTTCTCCGCATTGTGTCCCCATGGTGTGCGGGCATCTCCATTGTGCCCCGGTGGTGTGCCGGGCATCTCCATTGTGCTCCGGTGGTGTGCCCTGTTCTCCGCATTGTGTCCCGGTGGTGTGCGGGCATCTCCATTGTTCCCCGGAGGTGTGCCGGGCATCTCCATTGTGCCCCGGTGGTGTGCCGGGCATCTCCATTGTGCCCCGGTGGTGTGCCGGTCATCTTCATTGTGCCCCGGTGGTGTGCCGGGCATCTCCATTGTGCCCCGGTGGTGTGCCCCATTCTCCGCATTGTGCCCAGGTGGTGTGCCCTGTTCTCCGCATTGTGCCCCGGAGGTGTGCCGGGCATCTCCATTGTGCCCCGGTGGTGTGCCCTGTTCTCCGCAAAGTGCCCCGGTGGTGTGCTGGGCATCTCCATTGTGCCCTGATGGTGTGCCCTGTCCTCCGCATTGTGCCCCGGTGGTGTGCCTTGTTCTCCGCATTGTGCCCCGGTGGTGTGCCGGGCATCTCCATTGTGCCCCGGTGGTGTGCCCTGTTCTCCGCATTGTGCCCCGGTGGTGTGCCTTGTTCTCCGCGTGGTGCCCCGGTGGTGTGCCGGTCATCTTCATTTTGCCCCGGTGGTGTACCCTGATCTCCGCATTGTGCCCCGGAGGTGTGCCGGTCATCTTCATTTTGCCCCGGTGGTGTGCCATGTTTTCCGCATTGTGCCCCGGTGGTGTGCCCTGTTCTCTGCATTGTGCCCCGGTGGTGTGCCGGGCATCTCCATTGTTCCCCGGTTGTGTGCCCTGTTCTCCGCATTGTTCCCCGGTGATGTGCCCTGTTCTCCGCATTGTGCCCCGGTGGTGTGCCTTGTTCTCCGCATTGTGCCCCGGTGGTGTACACTGTTCTCCGCATTGTGCCCCGGTGGTGTGCCCTGTTCTCCGCATTGTGCCCTGGTGGTGTGCCGGGCATCTCCCTTGTTCCCCGGTGATGTGCCCTGTTCTCCGCATTGTGCCCCGGTGGTGTGCCCTGTTCTCCGCATTGTGCCCCGGTGGTGTGCCCTATTCTCCGCATTGTACCCTGGTAGTGTGCCGGGCATCTCCATTGTGTCCCGTTTGTGTGCCGGGCATCTCCATTGTGCCCCGGTGATGTGCCCTGTTCTCCGCATTGTGCCCCGGTGGTGTGCCCTGTTCCCCGCATTGTGCCCCGTTTGTGTGCCGGGCATCTCCATTGTGCCCCGGTGATGTGCCCTGTTCTCCGCATTGTGCCCCGGTGATGTGCCCTGTTCTCCGCATTTTCCCCCATGGTGTGCCCTTTTCCCCGCATTGTGCCCCGTTTGTGTGCCGGGCATCTCCATTGTGCCCCGGTGGTGTGCCCTGTTCTCCGCAAAGTGCCCCGGTGATGTGCCCTGTTCTCCGCATTGTGCCCCGGTGGTGTGCCCTGTTCCCCGCATTGTGCCCCGGTGGTGTGCCGGGCATCTCCATTGTGCCCCGGTGATGTGCCCTGTTCTCCGCATTGTGCCCCGGTGATGTGCCCTGTTCTCCGCATTTTCCCCCATGGTGTGCCCTGTTCCCCGCATTGTGCCCCGTTTGTGTGCCGGGCATCTCCATTGTGCCCCGGTGGTGTGCCCTGTTCTCCGCAAAGTGCCCCGGTGATGTGCCCTTTTCTCCGCATTGTGCCCCGGTGGTGTGCCCTGTCCTCCGCATTGTGCCCCGGTGGTGTGCCGGGCATCTCCATTGTGCCCCGGTGGTGTGCCCTGTTCTCCGCAAAGTGCCCCGGTGATGTGCCCTTTTCTCCGCATTGTGCCCCGGTGGTGTGCCCTGTCCTCCGCATTGTGCCCCGGTGGTGTGCCGGGCATCTTCATTGTGCCCCGGTGGTGTGCCGGGCATCTTCATTGTGCCCCGGTGGTGTGCCCTGTTTTCCGCATTGTGCCCCGGTGGTGTGCCCTGTTCTCCGCATTGTGCCCCGGTGGTGTGCCCTGTTCTCCGCATTGTGCCCCGGTGGTGTGCCCTGTTCTCCGCATTGTGCCCCGGTGGTGTGCCGGGCATCTCCATTGTGCCCCGGGTTGTTTGTAACTCCTCCAATACTATCCGCACTATGCAGTCATTGTCGACACCCAATCAGCAGGCGTTATATACCCAACTCTTGTTATAAGTTCATGTCACGGAACCCGTCCTCATATAAGGAAAATGAATATGACTTAAGAGAAACAGGAATTAATGGAACTACGTGTACTTTGCCTGAAACTCTTAGGCACTTCACACAATACGTTTATTGTTTTAAAGATGACACGATAACATACAAACTGGAAGTCTGTTTACACACCTCGATACAAATGTTTTCAATGTGTACATAGTGACACACATATTAAGACGCACAAAGCATCGACAAACATTAATCTACTCACGAAACACGCCAATGCTGAGAACACATTATCTACCATGTATTATCTGCAAATCGAACATACCCACAACGACATCAATAGCGTGTGCCAAGCTTACATGTCTACAATGTGCGTATCAGATCTAGTGAAGCATTGTCCTCCGAATGATCCAGATCGGTTTCCTACTGGTAATGATGTTTCCATTTAACGACATAATACGATTATCTAAATCGATCTCCTCAATTCAACACCGTTAGAATCAAACAGACCAAGGCATCGGGTTAGATACGTACGCCATATCATATACAGAAGCACCTCTGTGTCAGGGTGGAAAAGATTCTCTCAAGATTAAGTTATACAATTTAGTAACCAAGGTCAAGAAGTAATTGTTCTTCAATGTGATCTTCAAACTGACCTCTTCTTTGTTGTAAGTTAATTACATTGTGTTAGTTATTGTTTCTTTGGGCAGGAGAATATGGTACACTATTGTTCCATGTGGTCATAGTTTCTCTCCTAGCTACCATAACCAACAGACTGTGCTCTTGATAGCCTAGCAAGGCTTTGCATTATTAGTTTGAAGTTAACGTTTATATTTAGCTATGCTACCTATATTCGGGGTGATGGTCAAGAGAGATATTTCTATTCTGCCGTACAATACGGCTCTTTCACTATCCATATAAACGGTATTAATGTATTTTGTTGGTGTGGTATTGAGTTTGTTTGAACGCCACTTTCAGTATTTCAGTTACATCACAGCGTGTCAGTTTGATGTGGGAGGAAAGTCCGCAGTAACACAGTTCTTTCGCAGAGCATGGTGGTGACATACCAAGAATCACCATAACATAAACCGATGTGCTACCTCTACAGATACCACAGAAGCCTTAAACGACCTGGCTACCTGTGTCACTGGGTTGTTGGTATACAATAACTGATTCATCAATGACAACGTCTTTCTTACTCCTTAGAAACGACTAGTCATGTACGGCTGTACCCATATGCGGAAAAGACCGTTATGGGATAAAATAAAAAGGCTCGACTGTTACTGGAGAATAACAAAGTCACTGAAACCAATAAATATATTGTGAGTTAAACTTGTATGAACCTTGAAAATATAGCGCTAGAATATTCACATCCATAAACTTCTGAAATTTGATGCAACGGAATTAATATAGCAATTTAAATTTAATAGCACTAGTATTATCTGACTATATGGCAATTTCTAACCCTAATCGGAGGCATGCGCTGAAATATACAGCTATCTCTTTTTGTGGCCAAAAGCCCGCGTCGTCAGTCGGCTGTGTTACTACGACGAGAATCCAAAACACTGACCCCCCGTCTAACTCCCTCTGTATCTGCACTGGTCCTTACTGTGCCCTGGTTCCTTTCACCGCCACGAACCGCTTCGATCTACGGTTAACTTGACTTCCCCAGTCTTGACTTCGCTTTTCCATTTCTGTGATGGTGTACATCTAAGAGATTAAATCAAGTTCGCATTAGTACGAATCTGGCTACGAGTGACCATCAGTTATCTATAAAATACAATATCCCACTTAATGAAGCAACTTAAATGTAAGTCACCCACAACCTCGTCAATATGTGACAATACCTAGGCATGACACCTGCTGTGCTTCTTATATATCAATTTGATTCGATTTTACCACGCAGATTTGTTGCGAGGATATACACTTCATGGCTAAGCCCCATTCCCTTAATGAACTTGGTTTATATCATAAACTCACAAGACATTTATTCATTCCAAATGTCATATAAGGCCATATTTAGTTGTCTACATAATCACCATTTTCTTGTCAGTAATGAGACCCTTATGTGTTAAGTTCCGGTTACCCAGTACTTCACTTCCGGTACGACGGACGTCCTCGATTGAAGGTGGCGGAGGATGTACAAAAACCTCCTCTGGCAATAGACAAGAGACAGTCGCAGACATTCTTCAGATATATGATGCCCAATAAATTACTGCTGAACTCGCAGTTCAACAGGAAGGCATACAAGGTCACAGACAACAATGGCCACACTACTTCTAATTGAAAGTTCATTGAATTGAAAGTGTGTTAGTGAACTACATATAATACTGTGGTGCGAAGACTCTACTTTAGTATGTGTGTCATGGTCATTTCTGTCTAAAACTTAACGCCAACGCACATTTTAATTTTGACAAAGCAATATATTGATAGACACAGTTACGTGTGTGCCCACTCCAGATTAGACTACCCACAATGCAGGCGGGGTTGCAGTCGCCCCTTTCCTGTCTTTATCTGCGTGAAATCCGTTCGATGGAATGGACATTTGAAAGCACGACAACTTCAACAAGATGAAAATTTACTATTTCCTTTTACCCGCTTGGCTGAGACGGGGTCTAATCAATAGATTTCAAAGACGATGTTTCATAATACAAATGAAACTAAATCTTCTCGGATCGGTTTCTTATTCGATCCGTTAAAGTTCCAAGGTGTGAAGTAGCTTATAGGTATAAAATATAAGGAACACGATGGATTCCGTTTTAATTTCCAAGGTGATTTAATGTTTGGCATGGTTCAGCAATGGTATTCGCTGACAAATTATTTTCATTTAAAATGTGTTTGAAACCCCCTCACATAGATAACTAGACTCATCATCACTTGCATGAACCCATGTATCTAAGTGACTACATCATGTCAGCAATATGATGAAATGCCTTGACAAAATATTCGACAACCACAAAAATAGCTTTCGTATAGAAACACCATCATTGTGACCCAACATTGAAAGATAATTGCCTAGTTTAATCTCCGGTTCTTGAGATAGGGCATCATGTTAACGCAAATCTTTTAAGGATATGGTCTTAGGAATAACCGCGAACTGAGGCATTAGATATAAGAATGTGAAAACCATTCCGTTATGAAGGAGCTGCACGTAATTTGATACGTCTTAGATGTACCAACATCTCATAGTTCAAAGAAAACAGGGTTCATGTTTGTACGGATTAATAAATCCCACAAATGAGGGTGTGTTTTTTGCCAACACGACACGTGAAGATCCGGCTTAGAATTGGTCTTCATCAACCCATGCTTATCGATAGAGGCGACTAACGGGATTTGGTAGTCAGGCTCGCTGACTTGCTTGATGCATGTCATCGTATCTCATTTGCGTGGATCGATGCTCATGATCCTTATCACTGGATTGTCTGGTCCAGACTTAATTATTTACAGACCATATAGCTGGAAAACAAACAAACAACCATGTCCAGCGAACAGAGAACAGTGTTTTGCTTTTGAAAACATTTTTTCGAACAATAAAATCCCAGTTACCATCAAAACGACCACTCCCTAATTTAAATGTGTTTAGAACTAATACATGGACCCGTGACGATCCGGGGTAGAATGGGTCTTCAGCAACCCATGCTTGCCGTAAGAGGCGACTGTGCTCATGATATCAATCACTGGATTGTCTGGTCTAGACTCGATTATTTACAGACGCCGTCATAGAGCTGGAATATTGCTGCGTGCGGTCTTAAACAAACAAACAAAGAAACAAACAAACAAATCAGAATATTTAGATTTACAATTGGTATGTGGGGGAGTTTTGCTGAGAACTCTACCTGGTATAGTGTATCCTAGATGCCAGCAGAAGCGTAACAATAGGAGAAACATCAACACCAAGGGTTTCCATGTTAATGCAGTCAAAGTTAAGTACCTCTCCACAAACCATGACATCTCATCACTCAATGAGCAGCATCTCGTTCCTGGTCTATTTAGGATTTCATTTTTGTGCTGCGATGGCGTATCCTCGTGGTGTCTGAAATACCGTTCAAGCGGCAGCGTAATCCCTCGTCAACACAAGCTCTTTGTGAATTTGATATACAATGGTATATTGAGCCTCACAGAGATGGAATTCCGTAATAATGAAATCTTTTGTTTAGGGCATTACATGATGTCGAAGAGGTATATCCACAAGCAGTCGTCGAGACGAGTTTGTGTAGCGAAGGAATTCAAATGCGTAGCTCACTTAGTTAACGTTACAGCAGAGGGCATTCTGTTAGATCGGAATAATGCTGTGGGGATACAAAGATGTCTTTCGTCAATGTCGTATATCTAGTAAAGTACAAGTAAAGACATGAAGGTGCGCGCATAGCAGCACTCTCAACCACACTAACGACGCTTTCCCTCGCAACCTACCTCACTTAGGACACATATACAATAACACAGAACGTTACTTACCTTCGCGACATTGACGCGATCACTCGCTGGGAGCCGCCATCTTGAATGAAGTCACTGCTGTAACAGCACTTAATGGATGATTCGCTGGAACCTTTTGTTTAAAAGAAGCCATTGTGCGATACCAAAATACTTGAAGACCTAAACCTATACGTGACCTAAAGACGTCCCTTTCTCTATGCGACATGATCTAAAGCTTCCAACTTGGATGAAACTTGTGTAGAAATCACAGCGACTTATTAAATAGCACGATTACGTAAGCCTCGTTTTATCATTTAGCAGCGACTGGAATTAGCGCTTATTATCCAAATGACATACATCAATTGGTATAAGATCATAGACGATATCACCGCGGTTGGTTTGCGACACCCAAAACTGGACTGAACTATACCATACAGTAACTCCATGCCGTGATGGCTACTGTCCATTAGCAGATACACATGAAGATAAATGTCATTGT